ACCGCAAAAAGTTGCTCCAAACGCCAAAAGTTGCTCAAAAGTTGCCGAGCACAATCGGGACAGGCCTACGGGCGCGGCTGCCGTATGTAAGGTTGCACCAACATGGCAGCTGGAAAATAGCGTAACCATCTGGGGCTCACTTTAGTGGACAAACGAACACAATGGACATAAACCAGGGCTCCTGACATAAACACAAAGGTACTCATATCTCTAAACAATTAGGTGGAGGGGTGGGGCGGGAGGGCGGAGCAGAGAGGGGGTGAGTCATCTGTATTTGAGTCATTGATAAGGGGTGGGTTGATCAATTTCAGGTGCTCATGGGGGTAGGTCATCCTATTTTATAATAGAAATTGACACACATGTAATCAATAACTGTTTTAATAATCAAAGTCTTGTCATGATACTAGTGACAAATTTGGCCACACATTTAAATTTTGTACGCATCAAGCCGGAATTATCAGCGGAGCTCGTGCGCGTTGAAGGAAAACGAACAAGGGGAGCCCCATACCTAAGAAAATTTAATAACCCATCGATCTCAAAAATTTTGTTTGTCACGTGACGGTCCGTCGGTCTGTAGGTCCATTCGTCCGTACGCCAGGCCCAATACTTTGAAAAATAAGAGAGTAGCCCCATTACAATACAGTCAAAAATGCAATAGGCGGACACCCTCGGGACCTGTGCTAGTGTGCGCTTAATACAGAGTGTCCGTTAATACCGTATTTCCATAAACAGTGGCAAGTATATGAGGTAAAGCGATTTGAGTATACAGCAACAGCATCTAAATTGATCAAATTATGTAAAGGTAAACAAAATCAAACAAGAACAAACGTTCTGTAAAAAGAAAACCGAATAATATATAAAATATCGCATTTCTGTGACAGCTCTTTGTCGGCAAACTTAAGTGACCGATCTATTAAAACGTGGTCAAAAAAACATGAATCATTTTTGCAGTGTCCGTTTAATACAAGTTTCTAACAGCAGAAATGACCATAAAAGTCAAGTTTAAGCTGTCCCCGTTCGCTTAATAGAGGTGTCCGTTGATTACAGTTATTTTTTTACAGTGAACAGGTGGGAAAAGAAAAAAATAGGACTTGCACCACTGTCCGCTTAAAGAGGGCGTCGGTCTAATATTGGGTCCGCGTAATACAGGTTTGACTGTAGGTACATCTTTGATATTGGACATCCATGTTATGACTAATTGACTGCTATCCAAACCAGGAATCGGCTGAACAGTATCACTTAACGATATCGCGGACTCAGGTTTAGAGCTCATCGAGGTCAAGAGGTCGTGTGCTCGGTCGCGCGTTTTTTGAAGATGACTTGGTACTGGTTTTCGACTGGATCGCAGGCTCAAGTCAGGTTATTACTTTGGGGGAAAACGAGGGAGTACATGCAAAGGCAAAATTTCTGCACAAATTCACCCCTGGCGTAGCCTGCGAACGCAGACGTATTTTCGGCTGTCGCTTGTCTCCGCCGAAAATAACGTCTCCGAACCCGAGCCAGGAAACGATTTCTGTGACGTAATGACTTTTGTTTCTCTTTGGCCAATCAGATTCTATGATAGAATGAAACTCGAGTGCTCCTCGCAGCGAATACCTCGCGCAGTAGTTCTGGGGCTACTGGAGCTAAACTGTGATTGGCTTAAAATTCCTACGTCACAGAAATCGTTTCCTGGCTCGGGCTTGCAGACGTTATTTTTGGCGGAGACAAGCGACAGCCGGAAATACGTCTGCATTCGTAGGCTACCCCTGGCGCGTTGTTGACTTTTCTTCCGACACATTCCTTGCAGAATCGTCTCTTGAAAAGTCATTGATATATTGCGTACGTAGTTTCTGTAGTCTTGGTTACGCTTATTGGGTATAGTCTGTTGAAATTTCACTGGAAAAAATAGCGAAACCACACGCTGAATAATTACATGCTTACAATTTATCATTTTTAAGTTTCTGATCCAAGAAAAGACAAATCTTCTTTTTCCTTCACGTTTAATTATTGGGATCAGTAGCTCCGCTTTTAGACTTGGCTAGATTTTCAGATCTGAACAAAGAGTTTCCAGTGGTCCCATTGGTTGAGCGATTCCTTATACATGTATGACGTTATATTAACCGCGCCAGGCAGCGAATATAATATTTCCGAGCTTGATTACTAAGCTTGCCACCTTTGCCATCTCGGCAGGTAATTAAACATGGCGGACAGTTGCTCAATGAGATTTTCATCTATTCGGAAGACATCACTCCAAGTCCAGGATATTTGAAAGGATGAAGAATTTTCAAAATGACTGCTGTCACCCTTGGACCAAACATCCTTTCAAGAACTCGTATTCAAGACATTTAAGAATCGTAAGCACAGTGGTTACGTTGAGGCCAGCAGGACAGATCGATTGACCGAAATGAATTTTTCTTCAGACTAAAACTACTCATTCTTACACGATGATGACAGCTCTTAATGAAGTCAACAACGATAAAACAAAGGTACCGGATGAATTTATTTTTCGCAGTGTTTCGCTTGTTTGTTTTACTGCCGAACACGATGAGTAAATTGATTCACAGTCGATGTAAGTTTAGATGTAAGTTTATTAAAACTACGGCTGCATACGTTTATGCAAACGAAGAATCATGATTGCGTTTCTGTTGCGTCTCTAAAACAATTATTCGCCTCAGGCTCAGCGAATACTGTTGAATAATCCTTTCGACTTCGTCTCGCGGATTATTCGACAATATTAACTTCGCCTTCGGCGAATAATTGTTAAATATAGAAACGCAAAATCAGTCCTCTTTTGTTTCTTTATATAAAACGTAACTTCTAATTTCCAAGTTAAAATTTTTTCTTGTTTTACGTTTCATTGTTGTATTGTTCCATTCTGTATTAATATTTCGAAAACAGACGTCGTGCCATTCCCCCTGCATGACACTTGGTCAGTGTAAAACGAAGACTGCAGATCGAGTGCGGATAGCGGGTAAAGTGCATATTTGCAAATTTGCATATTTTACGCAACAATCAAGCTTAAATATCTCCGAACTAATGCAGGTATTTGCAAACGATAAATGACGTTTTCAGTCTTTCGTGGAAAGTGTATGTGATACACCTAAAACCTCAAGGGGTAAAAATTTGATCACAGTAGCATTTAATATAACACTATAACAAATGGGAATCCGCGCCTTACTTCTGTACACATCGAGTAATCTGCCAATCTTCCTGAGATATTTGGATTTCCAAGTTTGCGGCATGACCGCATACTACAGGGCGGAAATATAACTTATTAAGAGAAAACAAGGTGTTAATGAGATATAATGCCTCTCTCCGCTATATTTTTAATTCTCGTTCATGACACAACGATAGATTTTCTAAAGTTCGTTGGGAAGCGGTTCAAAAAATGTCTTCGTGGAACAATCAACCGACGTTTCTTTTATCGGGACATTGCAAGGGGCAATCATAAAACTCTAACCGGTCAATTCTGTTTCATTGTCAGAGGATGGCAAACAGGCCGCTGAAAAAATTGTTTTCGCATGGCTGGCCGCTGGTTTCTTTCGGCGGATTTGTTCACAAGAATTCTTTTAATTTACCAGTTTTGTTTGCAAATTAATTTAATGCCCGGTATATTTTTAGCATGCATTTGGGACGATGTATTTCCTTGGGTGATTTATTTCATGTATGGTGTTTTTAAAATCGATTAAAACTATTTTAAGAAATGATTTGATTTAGTGAACTAGTAATGTCCACTTCCATCCGGATGGCAGAGTTGCTGCATGAAAATAAAATATGGTTTACCTGGTTTTCCTTTCCAAACGTAG